AGTATTCCTTTAAAATTCATTTTTCAATTACGTTATTATTGTAATATTGAAAAATTATAATTTGTTTTAAAAAAAAAACTTTAAGTTTAAATAAAAGTATTTGAAGAAAACAAAAAACGTACAGTTGAGCTACTGTTAGGGACAATTTAACTGCAATATTGGCCTACAGTTCTGAATTAAAATACTTACACATCTACAAAAAAATGGCTACTGTTTGCATGTTTCCCACATAAATTTTACTCTTTACAACATACACATGTTATAATACACATGACCACAAACCAAACGTTGCTACTATCTATCTCTAATCTGTGCCACTAGTCCTGGCCTCTTGTATGTATTGACTATGAACCAGTGCCTCTAATAACTAATTTACTCTTTGTGTCTGGCCAAAAAAAATAAAAAAATAAGCTAACCTTACCTTCATGGTCAGATCACCAGCCAATGCTGTCATATTTTCATATGAAGAACACTGTTCTAAGAATAATTGCTAAAGATCATGTGATTTTGGGAGCAGTATGACCCATGAATTAGATCCATGTTGGTTCAAATTACTTATTTGGTAATTCTGACAAAAAATGACTCATAAAAATAACTCTTGTGGTTTATATTTTTAGAACTGCTCAATGGCACTTCCTATAATACACAGATTACTGTTATGTATGTTCTCTCTTGATGTCTGTGTTTAGCTAATTTTCTCTATATAGCTATCCATATCTTTCTCAACATAATGTTGATGTCAAAAAGTAAACTAATATTTCACTTGCTTTAGAATGCACACCTTCTAAACATAGTATATTGCTGGCATTGCATATATGTGGCTTCGCAAGCATGTGGCATAATTAATATAAAAAGACATGTTTACTATACATTCACGTGTACTGATAATACTATTGATTTTGGTAATGACTGGAGGCAATTAGTGCATTATACAAAGTCATTTTTTTTAGAGTTTTTAACATTGTTTTTGGTAATAATGCAAAATATCAGCCAGAGCTTCTGAACTCAAAATAACCTCAGCTCTTTGCCTTCATCAATAAATTTGGAAACGGGCAAATGGGCAAACACATGGTGTTGGTAAATAAAATGCTTCCGGTCTGTGTTCCTCAGAAAACTATTGTGATGTGACACATATTTGAAGATGACCTGATCACTATTCAGGAAAACCACTTGAACAAACAACATGTGTCAATCAGTGTACTGCAAAACATATACATAATATAAATATTTTCCTACCATTTGTAGACAGATCAAGAGAGAAAAAGTAGTCAAAAGAGGGGGTAAAAGGGGCAGCAGAAAACCATCTATGTACATTAATAAATATATAAATATAGATTTTTTTTTATTGCTCCTCATTTTTTTTTCTCCACTATGGGTCATTCCTCACTTTATCTGTCAATACAATCAACATTTACTGATTAGCCATTAGCCACCAACCATCTTTTTTTTTTTTTTACCTCTTCATTATTCAAATTGGAATGGTGAATGGGGGCAGGCAAATTCCTAGTTCCAGGGCCACTGTCTCACCCCTGGGCTCTAGAAGAATGCTTATGGTTGCCCTATAGTTAATCTTGCTCTGTGCTTTTAGCCCTACTTTTAGGATTTAGACCAATATTTAGAACAGAATACTTTGATAAAACTCCCTCAATGTTTTTTCTTTTCCACTAAAGCAATATGCACCCTTGCTGCATCCATTATATTGCTCTCAGTGGTCAATTAGTGATATGCTGAGAGCATCTGTTGGCACTCCCAGCCTAAATCCAGCTGCCCAACTAAAGCTTCCTTGTACTGTGGCAGGAAGGTAGCCATAGGACAGCTGAATTTGGTAGTGGAGTATCACCTTTATGGGATGAAACATTGGAAAACATACACTCTGTAGACGGACGGACTGACTGACAGATGAACAGACAGACATTTATTTTATGAGCCTCTTTCTATTTACAGTAGATACAGTATTGTAAAGCATTTGTTAATTAAACTTTAAAACCGTAACGGATTACTTTTCGGTGTTAACAATCACGGCAACCATGAAATGTCAGCAAAACTGCAGCATTTTTAAGGAGTAACCAATATAAATATAATTTCATACCAGGCATTCTGGGAATGAGGAAAACAGCTACACAGGCATCAATAACAATAAATATGAAGTGCAATATTGAAAAAAACTGCCCAGTCAGTTCACCATCCTTCGCTGCCAGAGTAACAGTATTTTTGAGGTGTGATTGCTTTTAGATGTGTAAATGCTCTTTATATGGCAATCCAGGTAGCAGGGTTATCAATTACAAATCATGTGTTTACTCTCAACATAAAAAGTGTGCAAGGATTTGGACTGAGCTACAAATAGAATGTTAATAACTCTGTACTGAGAACATGACTTTTGGTCTAGTTCTTACACATCTTAAGTCTACATGAGAAAGTATTAATTTCCATTTATTTTTAAAGTACCAACATATTTTGTAGTGATGTACATTTAGTAAAGATTATTTATTTATAAAACATTTTACCTGGAAAGATACATTAAGATTTCTATCATTGTCAAGTATGTCCTGGGTCCACAAAACATTGCATTGATACAATATGGTACAATAAAATACAAAAACAATATCAATGCACAATGTATATAAAATTTTACTTAGAACAGGTAGGAAATACATAATCATCCAAATGAGCTTAGAGTGACACTATAGTCACCAGAACAACTAGAGCTTAATGTAGTTGTTCTGGTGAGTAAAATTATTACCTTCAGGCATTTTCATGCAAACACTTACTTTTCAAGGAAAATTCAACACAAGCATGATTCAATGCATACCTATCGGGAGGTGCTAATTGATCAAAATGATGTTTGGCCCCGCCCCCATCACGCCTCCTTGCCGATTTCAGCCAATCATCTGCTTTCCCTATAATGGGAAAGCATTGGATTGGCTAAAAATCATAAAGTCTGATGATGTCACCAAGGAGGTGGATGGGGGGGGAGCAGAGGGAGGGGTAGGGCAGCGCCGGTGGACCCGTGCAGCGCTGGAAAAAAAGGTGAGTTTTAGCCTTTGTTTGTATTCCTGACCTTATAGTATTCCTTTAAAATTCATTTTTCAATTACGTTATTATTGTAATATTGAAAAATTATAATTAGTTTTTTTTAAAAAAAACTTTAAGTTTAAATAAAAGTATTTGAAGAAAAGAAAAAACTACTGTTTTGAGGTATGTAGAGAGGGATCTTTTAAAGTATTTTAGACCTGGGGAATATTTTAAAGTGTGCGGGAGGTCGTTCCATAATTGCGGCGCTCTGTAGGAGGAGGATCGGGACGCTTTCTTTTTGTATTAAGGTAGACTTAATAAAGTGCTGGTACTGAATCTGAGGTTATAGGAGGTGGGAACAGCCGGGAGAGCATTCTGGTCAGGTAGGGTGGGAGCTTCCCCGAAAAGTTCTTAAACACAAGATTGGAAAGATGAAGGATGCGTCTGGATTACAGCGACAGCCAGTTTAGTTCTTTTAGCATGTCACAATGATGGGTCCTGTAATTACATTGTAGCACAAAGCGGCAGAATGAGTTATACAGTGTATTGAGTTTATTAAGGTGGGTTTGTGATGCAGGTGCATATACTACATCCCCATAATCAATGATTGGCATCAGCATTTGCTGTACAAACTTTTCCTAAACTGTAGGGCTTAGGCAGGATAGGCCACCTAGTTTTGGATAAAGTTTAGATACAAGTTTTTCTATGTGGAAGCCAAAAGATAGATTGGGGTCTAACAACTTACCCAGGTATTTGAAAGAGTGAACTGCGGTCAGTGTGCTATTTGGTTTTGTTTTGATCCATATATGGGAATTGTGTAATTTGTGTAATTTAGGTACTGTTCCAAAGATCATTGTGACCGTTTTGTCAGTGTTTAGGAAGAGTTTGTTTTTTTATGTTTTACATATACATGATGGCAACCAACCTTTGGCATATTTATGTAATAATAACTTTATAAAGTACAGAAGGCCTCTGCCAGAATTTGCTAACAATACAAATTAACCATATTTTAGTAACTTTACTCACTGTTCCTACTATCTGGAACTCCTGATCTAATTAACATATACCAAAATACTGCTATATCAAAGGGGCACTGAACACACCATAACAACTTTGCAAAAAGCCAGGATGCCTTAGAACTTCAGTAATTTGTAAATATTGCTGCAGTTAAAGGACTAACCCCTCATTGATGTCAGAAGGGGTCACAGATATTCTGATGTAAATTTTGTGGTTATACATGTGTGGTATTTACCAAATATCCTGCAATGTGTCAACTCAACCTTCTCTGCCCTCTACGCTGATGTAGTTTAACATGTGCTGTTAATATTTATGAATGTTCCCGTTAATCCCAATCATTTTTTTTAGTGTTTGAGATCACATCACCTATAATTTAAGCATTGTCTATGTGTCCTTCTTGAAAATTTGATAGTTACCTTGTGTTGTTCGAAAAACAAACATATCGGAATGCTTCTCTTATAGCTGATTCATTACTTCAAAGTTAACCTTATTTTTCAAAGTTTATTTAAATTTTTCATGCAGTTTTTCCAGTACACTGTCCACCCATGAATAGTGAGCGCATGTTTGTAAAATTATATATTACCTTAGACTGTAATCTCATTTTAGGAGGACCCTCTTCACGTTTTGATTCTGTCGACATTACTTTGTAATATTAAAAAGCATTGGCAAATTAAAGTAAAATTTATTTATTATTATACAAATAATAATAGTAACAATATTTGGAGTGACAATGATTATCTGTTTGCTACTACTCCAGAACTGCAGCATTCTTAAAATTTACTCCATGGAATATACAACTAAACACAACCGTGCAATATAGTTAGCTGGGATGATGGGACATCACACTGTGTGTGCAATATGGAATTTGAAACTGTGACATGCAGTTTAAAATAAGAGGTAGATACTAATAAACAATCAATTTAACTTGTGTTACTCAGTCTTTTTTTTTTTTTTTTTATCCATTTAAGTACCTCTAATTAGAATCTTTCATTTAGCAAGTATCTCCTGATAACATTGTTTCTGTTACATACCAATCATTCATGAAATCAAGATTGTATTGAAGTATTAGCTTGCCACCAATGGGGATTCTTTACAACGGAGTCAGAAACAGTGTTTTAGTCTACATCATTAAAGTTACTGAGAAAAATCTAATATGTGCTCTTTAGAGGGGAGAAAGGAGCTGTGACAAAAAAAATCTCTTAAATTCATTAAGCAATATATGATTGTACAGGAAGGAAGGATATTTCAGAGACAGAGAAGGGCAAGAATAAGAGGTCATAGTCTGAAGCTATAGGGTGGTTGGCTCAAGGGATATTTAAGGAAGTTTATAGAATTACAGACCAGCAGGGGTGGCAGAGGCTAAATCAATAAAATAATTTGAAAACACAAGGGATCGACTTAAAGGAAGAGTAAAGGTTATATATGAAGTGTCTTCATGCTAGAGTTACATTTATATGTTGCTAGATTAGTTGCTTCAAACCTTTGACATTTTTTTATCAATATACTGCCAATTTTCTTTTCCAGGATGTCACCCTGACTTCCATTACTTCCATCTAAAAGTCATGTCGTACAGATAGAAATGTGCTTCTTCTAGTGTTTAGTTTGGGTATTGCACAGTCCCTAATAGTGTCAGCAATGGAGCCCAAACAGTTCTTAAGAGCTGGAGCCGAAATGTAATTTGACTGTGTTTAGCCATAAAATAATATGCTGAAAATATTCAAACCTTCCCAGAATTAAAAAAACATTTCACAAAATATCATGGTATGGTGTTTAATGGTAACCGGACCAGTGTTCATTTTGGCTGCAAATTTTAATTTAGCTTTAGTCATAGTCTTTTGACTAAAAAGCCATTTTAGTTTTAGTTGTATTTTAGCCATATGAATTGTTTTAGTCTAGTTTTAGTCAACTAAATCTTTGACATGACTAAAATGTAATGAGTTTAGTTAAAACCTCTATCGGTCTCTTTTGCCCCTTCCCCAGCCCAAATTAAAAAAGGAAACTCCCTTTAAGTTTTTTTTTTTGTGTGTGTGATGTTGCACCTTTACTACACATAATATAATACTGAAACATGCATGCGGTTAGCCAGTCCAGACTCTAGATGGCGTTTGACATTTTGAATGACAGGAAGTGACAGAACATGCTATGTCACAGCAGACCAACTGACTAAAAATTGTGTCTGATTTCTTATCATTCTGCAGTGCTACGATTTATTCCATCTCATGCCTCCTGGTCTGAGATGACGGTCGCATTCACAAACTGATTTCCTTGCGTACCACAGCACTTCCAGCATAATTTTGTTCTTGGAGCAAGTGCATAGAGTCCAGGTAGCTGGAGAAAATATGAAGGGAATTATTAATTACACATGTAAACAGAGAAACTTGCTGTGTGCCAAATTAAAAATAAAACAAAACCAACAACAAAAAAAGAATACAAAACACTTTTGTGACCCCTAAGACTCTAGAGCACAGAATGGGGAGAGGGGAGCGAGGGGCAATAAAAAAATGTACATGGGATGTGGGGCTTAATGAGTGGGTGTCAGTGAGTACCCCCATCTTTCTATACCCTATGTGCAGTTGTTGAGGATAATAATATACAATTTAGTGTCTAAACAAACAGTCTCTTATCATTCCTTCACCATGAGTGCAGTGGAGGGTAAAGATCAATTTAATAGGGTCATACAAATAACTCCTACATTGTTTTACAAATTAGCAGGCAAGACTCTACACTACAGAAGCGAAAAGTGAATCATGATTCTCTGCACTTTGACAATGAATAGATTCAATTTTATTGCGGTGCACTTACTCAATCAGGCTATATCAGGCCAGGCTACATGTGACCACCATCACATGTTTTGGAGAGACATAGGATTTAAAAAAACCAAAAAAAAACAAGATAGGATTTTTTGTACCCATAGAAAACAATCAGGGTAATTCACTAAAATGAGAATTGTTGTGAAGTCAAAGTGAATTGAAGGCCAGAGTAATAAAACTCATATGAAAGTTGACAATTCCTGACAATTCTCACCTCATTGACCAGCCCTGCATAGTCTGATCAGCCACAACTAGTGATGTCCCGAACGGTTCGCCGAACGGTTTGCCGCTCACTCATCATTGAGTAAACTTTGACCCTGTACCTCACAGTCAGCAGACACATTCCAGCCAATCAGCAGCAGACAGGGGGTGGGAGAGTCTGGGAGGGAGGGTCTGCTGCTGATTGGCTGGAATGTGTCTGCTGACTGTGAGGTACAGAGTCAAAGTTTACTCAATGATGAGTCCGTGGCGAACCGTTCGTGGCGAACTGTTTGCGAACCGTTCGGCAAACCATTTGGGACATCACTAGCCACACCATTAAAACCCAGGGGCGTACCCTTCCCTACCCCCCCTCAACTTTTAAATGTAAAAAACAACCAATTTTTTAAAAAATTTATTTAGCACTGAGCAGTGTTTGTGTGTGAATGTATGCATGTTTTTGTATGGAGTATGTGTGAGTGAATGCAGGAGTGTGTTTGTATGTAGTGTTGGCATTTGAATGCAAGCATGCATTTGTGTGTTGTGTGGTATTTGAATGCAGTGGTATGGTTATATATAATGGTGGGGTTTGTATGTAGTGTTGACGTTGAAATGCATGAGTGTATTTGTGTGTAGTGTTGGCGAGATTTTGAGATGTATGCACATATACACATATACAGACATACACACATGCAGATACATATACACACACACACACGCAGATACACTGTACTCTGCATGCTGGCATCTGACAACACATTTGCATATAATTCACATTAGCCACCCAAATTTCTTGTTGTGGGCTGCCTGACACCTCTTAATTTCAATCTTTGTTTAGCAGATAACTCCCCTATTTGCTATCTTTATGTGGGCTTGCCATATTTAAGGACACCAAATAAGGAGCTATCTATACACATACACAGAGATACACATAATCACAGATATACACAGACACAATCACAGACCCACACACGTTTATTTATTTATTTATTTATTTATTATTGCCATTTATATAGCGCCAACAGATTCCGTAGCGCTTTACAATATTATGAGAGGGGATTTAACTATCAATAGGACAATTACAAATAAACTTACAGGAACAATAGGTTGAAGAGGACCCTGCTCAATCGAGCTTACATTCTATAGGAGGTGGGGTGTAAAACACAGTAGGACAGGAATTTGCAATCAAATAAGGTGGGTTGCCCTTTAGGAGAGGGCAAGAGACAGGTATGTGAGGTAGGGGTTAGTCTTGGAGGCCATAAGCTTTCCTAAAGAGATGGGTTTTAAGGCACTTCTTAAAAGATGCAAGACTAGGGGAGAGTCTGATGGCGGGAGGTAGGCTATTCCATAGGAAGGGAGCCGCCCGCGAGAAGTCCTGCAAGCACAAGTTGGCCATACGGGTGCGGACAACGGACAGGAGGTGGTCACGGGCAGAGCGGAGAGACCGAGAAGGGACATACCTATGGATCTGTGAGGAGATATAAGAGGGGCTAGAGTTGTTCAGTGCTTTATATTGTTCAGACACACAATCACATACACATGCAAACATTACATACATACACATATTTAATAATTAATAGGTCCACCCAGCCTCCCTACCTTGTTCTAGAAGGGCTGGAGTGGATCCTCAGTTCCTGGTGGTCAATGGTTGCTGCTGGGAACTCTGTGCTCTTCCTGCACAGGTCCCTCACACGCCCTGTAATGACACCGAGGCTGCGATGACACCATATCCTGGCTGCCGTCTCACTGCAGGAAGAAGACAGGCAGACACAGTCAGATGCACACAGTCCCACAGACAGTCACTCACACACAGTTACAGGCAGACAGTCAAACACACAGTCACAGGCAGACAGTCACACATACACACACACACAGTCACACAATCACAGGCAGACAGTCACACATACACACACAGTCACAAACACACACACACATTCACAATCACAGGCAGACAGTCACACACACACACACAATCACAGGCAGTCAAACACACAGAGTCACACACACAAACAAAGGCAGAGAGTCACACACACACACACACACAGTCATAGACAGTCACCAAATAAGGGAGCTATCTACTAAATACATACAGAGATACACATAATCACAGATATACACAAACACACACACAGTCCTGCAAGTTGCGAGGTGGGACATCCATGGATTTGTTGTTCAAGCACATCCCACAGACGCTTAATTGGGTTGGAGGCTAAGGTAACACTTTGACCTCTTTGCTATGTTCCTCAAACCATTCCTGAACAATTTTTGCAGTGTGGCATGTTGAATTATCCTGGTGAAAGATGCCACAGCTATAAGGGAACACCATTGCCATAAAGAAATTAATTCCTGTCATTACATTGACTGGACAAGTAACTTACATTTTATATGAATGTGTGTTACTTGGTTGTTGTAAGTGTTGCAAATGCTTACAGCTGAATCCCGGCTATGTTTGTATAAACTTTTTTTAAAATTGTATACAGTGTAACATTCTTCTTCTTGCACTGGTTAAGTATATTAGTACTTAGGCAATACATTTTACTTCCTTTTGCAGCCCTCTAGTCCTTTCCAGGACTTTTTAGAGCCATTTTAGTGCCCAAAAGTTCGGGTCCCCATTGACTTCAATCGGGTTTGGTTTCGGGGTCAAGTTCGGGTCAAGTTTGACTTTTTGCCGAAGTTCAGCCGAACCTGGCGAATCCGAACATTCAGGTGTCTGCTCAACTCTAATAATCAACCATTAAACCCGTGCATTCTGTTTTGAGGAGAGGGATCTCTTAAAGGACTTTAAGCCTGGGGATGATTTGAAAGTGTGCGGGAGAATGTTCCATAATTACGGTGCTCTGTAGGAAAAGGATTGGGCTGCTTTCTTTTTGTATTGAGGTAGACTAAATAAAGTGCTCGTACTGGATCGGAGGTTATAGGAGGTGGGAACAGCTGGTGAGAGCATTCTGGTCAGGTAATGTGGGGGCTTTCCAGAAAAGCTCTTAAACACAAGGCTGGAAAGATGAAGGGTGCGTCTGGATTCCAGCGACAGCCAATTCAGTTCTTTTAGCATGTCACTAGGGTGGGTCCTGTAATTACATTGTACTGCAAATTGGCAGAACGAGTTATACAGTGTATTGAGTTTATTAAGGTGGGTTTTTTAGGTGCAGGTGCGTATACTACATACTACATACTGCATTTGCTGTACAATTTTTTTGGATAAAATACATCAAATAAATGTTAAAGGATCACTTTAGTGTCAGGAAAACAAAGTGGTTGTCCTGACACTATAGTGCCCTAAGGGTGCCCCCAACCTCAGGTTCCTCCTCCCGTAGCTTACCTTTATCCAGCACCAGGCTCCCTCTGCGCTCGTAACAGCCACTAGAGGTTGGGTTAAGCCTGCTAAGTAAACATAGCAGTTTCTGTGAAACTGCTATGTTTACATCTGAAGGGTTAAAACCTGAGGGACCTGGCACCCAGACCACTTCATTGAGCTGCAGTGATCTGGGTGACTATTGTGTCCCTTTAAATATAACTATCATATAATACGGCATTCCTTTGGATGTGTATATTGTGAAGACCTGTGTATCAATGCATGTTTGTATTTGAGTCCGTGTGAATGCACTTGTGCATGTCTGGATGACTACATGTGCTTTTTTGTAGATAGAGTCAGTGTGAATGCACATATGACAGGTGACAGAGTGTGTGAGGGAGAGGGTGACAGGTGGAAGAGTGTGGGAGGTGGTGACAGGTGGCAGATTGAGGGGGTACCTTGTGGCAGAGTGAGGGAGGGAGGGGGTGAGTGGTGGCAGAGTGAGGGGCAGACACAGTGAGGGGGGGTGACTAGTGAAAGAGGGATGGAGGGTAGGAAGTGACTAGTAACAGAGGGAGGGGAGGAAGTGACAAGTCACAGAGAGAGGGAAGGCATGACTAGTGGCAGAGTGAGGGAGGAAAGGCGTGACTAGTGGCAGAGTGAGGGAGGGAAGGCGTGACTAGTGGCAGAGGGAGGGAAGGGGTGACTAATGACAGAGGGAGGGGGTGACTAGTGACAGAGGGAGGGGGTGACTAGTGACAAAGGGAGTGAGGGGTGACTAGTGACAGAGGGAGGTATGGCTAATGACAGAGGGAGGGGGTGACTAGTGACAGAGGGAGGAGTGACTAGTGACAGAGTGAGGGGGTGACTAGTGACAGAGGGAGGGGTTGACTAGTGACAGAAGGAGGTGTGACTAGTGACAGAGGGAGGGGTGACTAGTGACAGAGTGAGGGGGTGACTAGTGACAGAGGGAGGGGTGACTAGTGACAGAGGGAGGGGTGACTAGTGACAGAGGGAAGGGGTGACTAGTGACACAGTGAGTGGAAGGGGTGATTAGTGCCTACCTTTCTCCTTGCTCAGTCTGGTCTCCCAGGCTGCTACTCCTTCCCCTTGCTGATCAGACTCTGTATGAGAGGAGAGTACAGGAAGTGATGTCACTTCCTGGCCCCGCCTCTCCCCATCACACAGTGCCACATGGGACAGGAAGCAGGAGACCTGGCAGAGAGGAGGTGAAACTACCAGGTCTCATTAAGTGGGAGGGAGGTAATATGCTGAGTGGTAGGTTGTGGGGCCCTGCGCTCCATCAGGGGCCCCAGCAACCTATTAATGAAAGAGATTTTTTTTTAATTTTGTCATTCCAGTTGGAGAGATCTCTAATCTCTCCAGCTGGAGCATGGCTGTGCGGCTGGGCCCATGGCTGGCTCGGGCCCTCGGTCCATAACCGATATGCCCGAGTGGTCAGTCCGGCCCTGCACGATCCGATACATATGATCGAAAACCAGGTTAGCTGACAATCACCAATACCTGAGTTTGTGCAGTAGAATGTCGTGCAAAATCAAGGAAAACAGCTCCAGTTAGGTCTCCTTGTTCCATGCCAGATTGGATGTCATTGCAAACTTTTAAGAGGGCAGTTGTAGTGGAGTGATTCGGGCAAAAACCCGATTGATCAGGGGTCAGATAGTTAGATTGTTGGTAATACTCATAGTTGCGCATGGACGCAATTTTCTATACACATACAGTGTATGGGGGTGTATACATAAACACCCCCATTGGCATTTTTCGTGTTTTGTTGCCTCACAATCTGGAATTAAAATGAATTGTTTGAGCATTTGCATCTTTAATTTACAGAACATGCCCACAACTTTGAAGATGTTTTTTTTATTTTTTTATTGTGAAGCAAACAACAAATAGGACAAGATAACTGAACAAGTACATGTGCATAACTATTCACCCCCCTAAAGCCACCTTTTGCGGCAATCACAGCTCCAAGTCGCTTTGGATAAGTCTTGATGAGCTTGCCACATCTTACCACTGGGATTTTTCCCCATTCCTCCTTGCAAAACTGCTACCGCTCCTTCAAGTTGGATGGTTTGTGCTTGTGAATAGCAAACTTTAAGTCTGACCACCGATTTTCTATTGGATTGAGGTCTGGGCTTTGACTATCAGGAGCACACATACACACAAACTCACTCAGTAGCAGGCACACACACTCACTCAGTAGCAGGCACACACACACATAAGCTCTAGGCCATTCCAACACATTTACATATTTCCCCTTAAACCACTCAAGTGTTGCTTTAGCAGTGTGTTTTGGGTCATTGTCCTGCTGGAAGGTAAACCTCTGTCCTAGCTTTAAATCACACACAGAGTGGTACAGATTTTGCTCAAGAATATACCTGTATTTAGCACCATCCATCTTTCCCTCAAATCTGGCTAGTTTCTCAGTCCCGACTGCTAAAAAACATCCCCACAGTGAAACATGGTGGTGGCAGCATCATGCTGTGGGGATGTTTTTTTGTTCTTTGGGTGATGTGATGTGTCGGGTTTGCGTCAGACATAGCATTTTCTTTGATGGCGGAAAAGTTCAATTTTAGTCTCATCAGACGAGAGCACCTTCCTCCATACATTTTGGGAGTCTCCCACATGCTTTTTCGCAAACTCAAAACATGCCATTTTTTTTTTTTGCTGAAAGTAATGGCTCTCTTCTAGCCAATCTGAGTTTTGATGGGCGGCTATCTCTTGGCAGGTTTGCTGTTGTGCCATGTTCTTTCCATTTGGTTATGATAGATTTGATGGTGCTCCTGGGGATCATCAAAGATTTGGATATTTTTTTATAACCTAACCCTGACTTGTACTTCTCAACAACATTGTCCCTTACTTGTTTGGAGAGTTCCTTGGTCTTCATGGCAGTGTTTGGTTAGTGGTGCCCCATGCTTAGGTGTTGCAGCCTCTGGGGCCTTTCAAAAAAGGTGTGTATATGTAATGACAGATCATGTAACACTTAGATTGCACACAGGTGGACATCATTTCACTAATTATGTGACTTCTGAAGGCAATTAGTTGCACCAGAGCTTTTTATGGGCTTCATAACAAAGGGGGTGAATACATACGCACATGCCAATTTTCTGTTTTCAATTTCTAAAAAAATGTTTTATGTATATATTTATGTATATATTTTTCTCATTTCACTTCACCAACTATTGTGTTCTGATCCATCACATACAATTTAGATTAATAAAACATTAAACTTAAGGCTGTAATGTAACAAAATAGGTAAAAAGTCAAGGGGGATGAATACTTTTGCAAGGCAATTTCACTCATTAACAGCCACCCACATACATAAGCACACTCACTAGCAGGCACACACACACAAGCTCACTCACTAGCAGGCACACACACACACACACACACACACACAAACTTACTCACTAGCAGGTGCACACACACACACACACACACACACACACACACACAAACAAGCTCACTCACTAGCAGGCACACACACATAAGCTCACTCACAAACAGCCACAGACATACACAAGCCCACTCACTAGCAGACACACACACACAAGCTCTCTCACTAGCAGGCACACACACACACACACACAAACTTACTCACTAGCAGGTGCACACACACACACAAATAATCTCACCTACTAGCAGGCAGCATACACAGACTCACTCACTAGCAGGCACACACACACACAAGCTACTCACTGTAGGCACACACACTCCCACTCACTAGCAGGCACTCACACACAAGCTTACTCACTAGCAGGCTGCTACACACACAAGCTCACTCACTAGCAGGAGCACACACACACACAAGCTCAGTCACTAACATACACCGCATACACACAGACTCACTCACTAGCACGCCACTCACTAGCAGGCACACACACACACAAGCTCACTCACTAGCAGACACACACACGCTCACTCACTAGCAGGCACACACAAGCTTACTCATTAGCAGATGCACACACACACACATGCTCACTCACTAGCAGGCACGCACACAAGCTTACTCACAAGCAGGCACACACACACACACACACAAGTTCACTCACCAGCAGGCACACACACACAAGCTCAATCACTAGCAGGAGCACACACACACAAAAGCCCACTCACTAGCAGGCACAACACACATAAGCTCACTCACTAGCAGGCACACACACACACAAGCTCACTCACTAGCAGGCACACACAAACACACATGCTCACTCACTAGCAGGCACACACATACAAGCTCACTCATTAACAGCCACACACATACACAAGCCCACTCATTAGCAGGCAAACACACACACACAAAAGCTCATTCACTAGCAGGTACACACACACATGCTCACTCACTAGCAGGCACACACACAAGCTCGCTCACTAGCAGACACACATATGTTCATTCACTAGCAGACACACACACACAAGCTTACTCATTAGCAGGTGCACACACACACACACACACACAAGCGCACTCACTAGCAGGCATGCATACACATAGACTCACTAACTAGCAGGCACACACACATGCACAAGCTCACTCAGTAGCAGGCACACACAAGAGCTCACTCACTAGCAGGCACATACACACTCTCACTCACTAGCATGCACACACATACACACAAGCTCACTCACTAACAGGTGCACACACACAGACTCACTCACTCACTAGCAGGAGCACACAAACACATGCTCACTCACTAGCAGGCACACACACATACAGACTCACTCACTAGCAGGCACACACGAGCTCACTCACTAGCAGGTACACACACACAGACAAGCTCACTCACTAGCAGGCACACACACACACACACAGACTCACTCACTAGCAGGCACACACAGACAATCTCACTCACTAGCAGGCACACACATGCACACACACAGACTCACTAGTAGGCACAAACACAGACTCACTCACTATCAGGTACATACACAGACAAGCTCACTCACTAGCAGGCACACACATACACATGCTCACTCACTAGCGGTCACACACACACACACACACACACACACACAAGCTTACTCACTAGCAGACGCACACACACACAAGCTCACTCACTAGCAGGCGCACACACAAGCTCACTCACTCGCACACATGCTCACTCACTAGCAGGAACACACACACACAAGCTCACTCAGTAGCAGGCACACATGCTCACTCACTAGCAGGCACTCACACACACACACACACAAGCTCAGTCACTAGCAGACACGCATACACACAGACTCACTCACTAGCAGGCATACACACATGCTCACTCACTAGCAGGCACACACACATGCTCACTCACTAGCAGGCACACACACACACACAAGCTCACTCACTAGCAGGCACATACAAACACACAAGCTCACTCACTAGCAGGCACACACACACACATACAAGCTCACTTATTAACAGCCACACACATACATAAGCCCACTCACTAGCAGGCACACACACACAAGCTCATTCACTAGCAGGCACACACACAGACTCACTCACTAGCAGGAACACACACACAGACTCACTCTCTAGCAGGCACACACAGACAATCTCACTCACTAGCAGGCACACACATGCACACAAGCTTACTCCACTAGCAGACACATACATACTACTCCCATTTTCAGTCAAGTACTACTCACACACGTTTCCCCACTAGCCAGCACACACACACACACACACATGCTCTCACTCACTAGCAGGCACGTACACAAGGTTACCACAAGCAGGCACACACACACACACACACAAGTTCACTCTATTAGCAGGCTATTACAAACACACACTCACTCACCAGCAGGCACACACACACACAAGCTCACTCACTAGCAGGCACACACACACACACAAGCTCACTCACTAGCAGGCACATACAAACACACAAGCTCACTCACTAGCAGGCACACACACACACATACAAGCTCACTTATTAACAGCCACACACATACATAAGCCCACTCACTAGCAGGCACACACACACAAGCTCATTCACTAGCAGGCACACACACACACACATTCTCACTCACTAGCAGGCACACATACAAGCTCGCTCACTAGCAGGCACACACATGTTCAATCACTAGCACACACACACACACACAAGCTTACTCACTAGCAGGTGCACACACACACACAAGCGCACTCACTAGCAGGCATGCATACACACAGACTCACTAACTAGCAGGCACACACACATGCACAATCTCACTCAGTAGCACACATAAGAGCTCACTAACTAGCAGGCACATACACACGCTCACTCACTAACATGCACACACACACACACACACACACAAGCTCACTCACTAACAGGTGCACACACACAAGCTCACTCACTAGCAGGCACACACACACACATGCTCACTCACTAGCAGGCACACACACTCACAGACTCACTCACTAGCAAGCACACACAAGCTCACTCACTAGCAGGTACACACACACAGACAAGCTCACTGACTAGCAGTCACACACACAGACTCACTCACTAGCAGGAACACATAGACAATCTCACTCACTAGCAGGCACACACATGCACACACACAGACTCACTCTCTAGCAGGCACACACAGACAATCTCACTCACTAGCAGGCACACACATGCACACACAGACTCACTAGTAGGCACAAACACAGACTCACTCACTATCAGGTACATACACAGACAAGCTCACTCACTAGCAGGCACACACATACACATGCTCACTCACTAGCGGTCACACACTCTCACAGACTCACTAACTAGCAAGCACACACAAGCTCACTCACTAGCAGGTACACACACACAGACAAGCTCACTGACTAGCAGTCACACACACAGACTCACTCACTAGCAGGAACACATAGACAATCACACTCACTAGCAGGCACACACACAGACTCACTCTCTAGCAGGCACACACACAGACTCACTCACTATCAGGTACATACACAGACAAGCTCACTCACTAGCAGGCACACACATATACATGCTCACTCACTAGCAGACACACACACACAAGCTTACTCAATAGCAGACGCACACACACACACACAAGCTCACTCACTAGCAGGCGCACACACACACACACACAAGCTCACTCACTAGCAGGCACACATACATACATACATACATTCAAACATACTCACTCACTAGCAGGCACACACAAATACAAGCTCAGTTACTAGCAGGCACACACACAAACTCACTAACTAGCAGGCACACACACACACACACTCACTAGCAGGCGTGCACAAACACACACACAAGCTCACTCACTAGCAGGTGCACACACACAAGCTCACTCACTAGCATGCCCGCATACACATATACTCATTAGCAGGAAAACACACACAAAAGCTCACTCACTAGCAGGCACACACACAGACAAACTCACTCACTAGCAGGCACACACACACAGACTCACTAGCAGGCACACACAAACACACACACACAAGCGCACTCACTATCTGGAACACACACACATAGACAAGCTCACTCACTAGTAGGCACACACACAAACTCACTCACTAGCAGGCACAAACACATACACAATCACTGTCATGGCTGAAGCTTACCTGGCACTGGAGGGTGAACTTGCCATTTTGTGGCCTCTTCCTTCCAGCGAGGTCAGCAAAGTGCGTGGGGGCAGGGCCTGAGTCTGGGAGGCAGAGCTATGTTCCAGAGGCGGGGCTTGTGTGCAGAGGCGGAGCATGCAGCCAGAATTGCTGAGCATTGTGCAGGGAGACTGACAGGTCTCCCTTCGGCCGCCAGCAGCCTAATTGTGGCTGTACCAGCCCCCAGCTCCTCTCTCATTACTCCCCACACAGTCCAATGTCAAAATCATTTAATTTACTTTAGCACGATGATTAGGGCTGTCCCAGGTGCCGCAGCCCACAGCAAAATTTCCCGTTATCCCGGTGGGCCAGTCCAGCCCTGCCCACAAGACTGCTGTTTTCGAGATGCTTTTACCCAATTGTTTGGCCCTTGTCAAAGACACTCAGATCTTTTTGCTTACCGATTTTTTCTGTTTCCAACACAGGGAATTAAAGAACCGACTCTTCACCACTTGCCTAATATATCCCACTCCTTGACAGGTGCCATTGTAACGATATAATCAATGTTTTTCACTTCACCTGTCAGTGGTTTTAATGTTGAGGCTGATCAGTCTATATCCATCTAGTAAACATCTAATTCCATCATATTTTCTATCATTACCTGAAGAGATGTTTTGTTCCAATTAAAAGCATTTTTTTCTGGTAGCAGTAATTTTGCTAGCTAATAATAGATTTTGTAGTAAATTAGCTATGATGCCTCAAAAACCTAGAATTTGCAGCACTGTAATGAGATCTTATTTACTACAAAGATTTATCGTACTTTGCAAGATATCAGGGCTTGCAATGTATTTAATGCCCTCCTGGATAAAGCTTAATGAAAGCAAAACAAGAAGCAAAAAAAAAAGATAGTCAGACACGTATTACACTATAAAACTGTAAAACTGTATTACCTGCCACCTGTGAGCTGATTCTCATATCCAAAGCTGAGAAAACAATTCCAGCAGGCACTAGGGATGTGGGAGATTCACTGCTTATCTGGAGCTAGTGTGGAAGCAAGCCTCCAGTGTTCCAAACGGCTGCTGTTAGATTACTGTCCACAAATCATAGGGGAAAAGGTCATCCGCCTGTGAGAGAGAAAAAAAAAGAGTGAGTTCTGGAGAGCCCAGGAGTAATTATGCCGGGCTGGATGAAACCAGAGTATATTTGCAGTGTTACTGATAAGTATATCTGAAATGTCTAAGGCCTTCCATCAATGTGCTGTGGAGTTTGCTGTAATTCATTGAAATGTTCAGATTTGCTACAACATAAACAACCTATTAACAAAGTCCAACCTCCTTCTTAACCTTCTGAATGCTAGGAGGGCAGAAGAATGAGGTGGAGTGGTGTCTCTGACTTCAAGGTGATTTCAGAGTCCGCACAGGCACATGGCTTTATTCTGGAAAGCATCGATGTATAAAATATTAGTATTTTAATTATAAAATTATTATTATTATTATTATTTATATGTATTCTGCAATGTCATGCAAAGGTTACAAGGAATAAAGAAGTTCATCATAACACAAGTCATGGAAGTGGCCCTGCTTAAATATAGTTACAAAACAGAGGAAAATTAAAGGGAACACACAAGCAAAATTAAAGGACCACTCTAGGCACCCAGACCACTTCTAGGGTTAACCCATTTTTTCATAATTATAGCAGTTTCAGAGAAACTATAATTATGAATGGGTTAAGCCTTCCCCCTAATCCTCTAGTGGCTGTCTCATTGACAGCCACTAGAGGCGCTTGCGTGCTTCTCACTGTGATTTTCACATTGAGAGCACGCCAGCGTCCATAGGAAAGCATTGTAAATGCTTTCCTATGAGACCGGCTGAATGCGCGCGCAGCTCTTGCCGCGCGTGCGCATTCAGCCGGCGGGGCGTAACGGAGGCGGAGAGGAGGAGGAGAGCTCTCCGCCCAGCGCTGGAAAAAGGTAAGTTTTTACCCCTTTCCCCCTTCCAGAGCCTGGCGGGAGGGGGTCCCTGAGGGTGGGGGCACCCTCAGGGCACTATAGTGCCAGGAAAACGAGTATGTTTTCCTGGCACTATAGTGGTCCTTTAATATAAGATATGGTATGCATCAAGATGATGTAACTAGTATTCTAAAATATTAAATCCAAATCTGAATATTCTAGCAATGTTCAAACATAAATCCAATTGATCTAGATTTATCATCCCAAAACAAACCTACAGGCAGAAGATGTTGATATTTTGCATAAACTACAGTCCCGGAGTCTCCAGTTCTGGGTCAAGCAATTTAAAAGAAATGGTCAGTTTTGTTTTGCGCTTCTAACTATGAAAATCACAGTGAAAAGACGCTGACATCCATAGGAAAGCATTGAGTAATGCTTTCCTATGGGCAGTTTGAATGGCGCTCGGCTCTTGCCGCACATGTGCATTTGGATCTGACGTCAGCAGGAGGTGGAGAGTTCCCCAACATAGAGGGAGCCAGGCGAGAAAGATAAGGGGGTGAAGGGGTTTTAATCCCTTCAACCCAGGAGGAATGGGACCCTGAGGGTGGGGGGGTACCTAAAGACCCTTTAGTGCCAGAAAAAACGAGTTTGTTTTCCTGGCACTATAGTGGTCCTTTAAGAAGTCACTGGCATTTGTTAATTAATAAAGCTGTGGCTATTGCCCTTACCAAACATACTAAGTTCTCACGTGTTTTATTGGGGCAACGGGAGTGGGTTTGTTGGTTTAGTCAGCAGTCAAGAACCACCCTGGACTGACAAGGAAGGGAAGACATGACTGCTGCCAGAGATAAGGCGTTGGGACAGTATGGATACAATTGTTACAAAGTGGTGAACATATAAATAAGGGCTCACTGGGTGGGGACTTACCAGTCAGCTAAGAAAAGTGCAGGGATCCTCACTTTTCCGACCTCCCTCCCTAGGTAGTCTGGTGAGGAATCTTGGTTTGTGTCTGTGTGCTTTGGTTTTGTTTCTCTTCTTGTTTTGTCACCGCATGCGGGAGTCCTGGCCAGCGCACTCATAAGCCGAAGAAGCTTGGTGCGTCGCAGCTTGCTGAGAACTGATGGCGGGGGCAGGCTGCTCTGGACTCCTGGTTCAATCGGATAAATATGTTTGTTGGTGAAGCATCCCAACAGCCGACAGGGTTTATGAAGTTGCTGGCATTTGTTGATTAACAAAGCTGTGGCCATTGCCCTTACCCAACATACTAATGTTTTATTGGGGCAATGGGATTGGGTTTGTTGGTTTAGTCAGCAGTCATGCTGTTGAAATGCGTTTGCACTAGATTAATATCCTAAACGCCAATGGCATGTCTCTCAACCATCTCAATTTCGCATTATATTTCTGATTTTTAGGTCCTATCCTACCACTTTTGGGGACACCAGGGAACTGTCCCCAGCAATCACAGCATGAGCGCATCATTTGAAGCGCTTATGCTATGTTTAGGGCACTAGGACCCTGCAATGAGCACTGAAACAGTGATCTTTGCAGAGGCAGCCCTATGGACAGATGAGACCAAGATCAACTTGTACCAGAGTGATGGGAAGAGAAGAGTATGGAGAAGGAAAGGAACTGCTCATGATCCAAAGCATACCACCTCATCAGTGAAGCATTGTGGTGGTAGTGTCATAGAGCCTCGTCTCATGGTGGGGGGGAAAGGCTGCATCTACCCTGGGGATTGCTGTATCACTATACTCCCCAGGGATTATAATCACTAAACTCTTTTAAGAGCTTGTTCCTGCTACTCTCTCCTTGAGGAGAAGTTCACCCACTGGAACCTGGAGCCTTGTCGGAGTTCCCAAGCTGTTATGCTGGATGTGGGGACTGCGGTGCTGATGGTGTCTGGTGGAGTGCTTGGAGTCCTCAGTGAGCACTAGGAGCATCTGTCAGCGGAGGTACCCAACTGGGGTTCAGGAAGCTCCGTTACAACCACGCTTTTTAATTCATAGGGAATATAACATGTAATCCAAGGCGTAGGTAAAATCACAATTTGCCAAATAATGCAATATATCTTGTCTGTTTGGTTTATAGGTTCATGATAAAGGCAAAGCATTTGCATGATCATACGAGTATGTGCCATTTGTGTGTGTGTACATATGGAACATTTAAAAATGTTCATTAGAGGTGACCCTCTAATGAAAAAAAAAATGTATGATCAAAATTGATACACACCAATGTTTTATATATGTTATGAAATGTTGATTTGAATGATTTGAGGGCAGTTTAAATTGTATTTTTTTAATCAATATTCCTATTAAGTAACACTGACGTCACAATACATTGCTAATCCCTGCTGTGACAAAATGGATAAATGCCCTAAAAAAATGGGAGCAGATTTCTAAAAGATCAGACTTTACATTGGTAGGAAACAATAGAGCAATTATCTAACCTGATTTGACAGCTAATTATCATGTCAGCCTTTACAGAGAACAGATGATTAATGTTGAGTAATCAATATCCTACCACTGCCTCTGCTGTGAACCTAGACACAGCCTGAGAAATGCTTTAATAAACTCTCTTCCAGTGCCTCTTTCTAGCATTGCCAGAGCTAAACAGCTGAGAAAGGTTATAGTTTTTTATAGCGAGACCTTTTCAACTTTTTCAAACTCCATTTCAAGTTGAAATGTGTCTGCCTAATAGTGGGGATGGCATAGCTCGATTAGTGTTTTGAAACTTTGTGTATAGTATTTTTACATTTAAAAACAGGCAATAAAAGAGGTCACCTTTGACCAACATTTTATGTGTTTTTTAATGTAGCTTATGCTGATAAAAGCATGCTTCATTCCAGAGTGAAAAGGTCACAAGCAAGTTGATCAGAGAAGCTTTTAAACAGGTTTATTGACCTTCAATTAGTATAGCTTTACATTGTGTGCTATGAAATTAGCCCAGGTAATATGAAACATTATTACAAATGTTCAAGCTGCCAAAATGGAACAGCTTCCATTATATTTATAGATTCATTCTTCTCTAGAGGTGATCATATTTATTTTTATTAAATAGCCACACCAATGACAAGCTCGGGAATCAACCTATGATTGCTGGTGATTTATTAATGCAATTAGTAATTTATTAACAATGTAAACAAAATGTATATCCTTTCTGGTCATAATATCCTTAATGATATAATCCGTATATTTTGCAAACAGTGTACGTTTGGAAAGGGCTTGGTTTGTCACTAAACTTCTGCCTCTTCTGCAAATTTTGTAGCTAATTTGATCCAACCTCTTTTTGCCCAGACCTAACTCCCTTCCTGTCTGGAGCTGGTCAATCAAAGGTTTCCCATATAGACGTATAATGGACACATTTAGAAGATATGAAATATATGCATTAAAATAAAAATTTGTAGAAAAAATTTAAATAAATATTCTTAAATAATAAAATAGTTGATCTTTTACAAATGTTATGATTAAAATAAAATATTCACATTGTGCTTGAATAAGTCCGAACATATTCTTCTCGGTGTAAATCACATATAAAAGATATCCTTGCTTACATGGAGGACTTATCTCAGTCTCAGTGTGAAAAATCTCCTCAAAAAGAAACAACTGGTAATTGAATTATTCTGTCACAGCTATTACCTGATTGTATTGTTAGTTAAAAGCACTATATTACTATTAAAATAACATATATAAAAGCTTAAGGCAAAAACTCTGGCTAAATACCCATTGACACCATAGCACACAGCTGTATCTGACTATATAATGCCAAAATTGTGTGATACCTCATTCTAACTAAGCCTGCAAAATGCTGTTCTATTAAATAATCACAACATCATTAAAGGTGCTTATAAGCTGCAGATGTCATCTTCCAATTTGACTCAGAACCTGATGATGGAGCCTCCAACCTACCAAAACCATGACCTTTACAATGCTTCATACTGGTCATGATGCTTATACTGCCCCTTTAACTAATCACATTTACCGGGCATTGTACAGTTTATTATGAGGCGGTTTATAACTAAATATGACGTGTAATGACAACGTTTTCTGGTCTTTCATATAGTTGACGACATGGA